GTACCCAACCTAAACCTTAAACTCCAAAACCTCATTCGGGTGCTTCCATTTTTTCATCCTTGAACCCTTTGACGGGAGCTGGAATTCCTACATATCCTTGTAGAACCCTAAATATCCCATATGAGCTATAGTCTAAACTCCGAGTATCGCCTTTATAACCCCCAAAATACTCCCCTTTATCATCCCGGAGATAGCCCTCCGTGAGGGAGTTTAGACCCTGAACCCTAAACCCTAATCCCCTATACAACTCTTTTCTAGGAGCTTTAGACTATATCCCATGTGGGTCCCTATATATCTCTGATGGGGCCCGGGACCCCTGCACCCTAAACCTGAAAACCCCTAAACCCAAACAACCCCAAAGCCTGAACCCCCTAAACGTCCTAAAGCCTAAACCCCCTAAACCCTGAACGCGCTAAACCCTAACCTGTAAAACCCTAAACCCCCTATCCCCTAAACACGACATATCAAGAGACAAGAGACCCATCCCCAGGATTATCGAAGCCTAAACCGCCGTCCTTGCCGCCGCCTTGCGCAGGTTAGGGTTTACGGTTCAGAGTTTGGGGTTTAGGATTGGGCTCTTTGTTTAAGGCTTAGAGTGTAGGGTTTAAGCGCAGCCTAGCGCACTCTAGGCTTCAGCGCCTAGCAACCTTATACGCAGAGGAGGGTTCCCAAAGTTAGGGGCCAGTTTCTTTTGGGGAGTCCTTAGGATTCAGAAGAATTACACTCTATTTTGGGGGTGGCAGGGGCATCCTGGCTTTGGAAGTAACAGATATGAAATACAAGGATATTCCTCAAAAAATCTCCTCGGGTCCCAAATACTCAAATCTGAATGGCTTTTGGCATCCTAACTCTTGATATTTGGGTACTGGGACCCTTAGCGTAAGCTAGGTGGACCCCCACCCAGTAATGGTGACTATAGGGGATAATAGGGATTAAATTAGGGTCCTCTTATATTCCTATTATACCACAGGGTGGGGGGTCCTCCTAACTTAGCACTAAGTATGATTGGCGAATGCTCCCGAGGGCCGTCTGAAAATTGCCATGACCAACTCTTGTACACCCGCAGTATTCCCTAGGCAACCCTCAACCTAAACCCTCAACCATGAATCCCTACATAACCCTATACAGGCTCCATATAAACCTAAAGCCTCAAGCCCCTTTCAAGGGACCACAAAGCCCCCCATTACAGAAGGGTTTGTAACTTGTCTTGACTTGCTGCGTGTTTGGAAAGGTCCAAAACCCTAAACCCGGAAATCCTAAACCCTAAGCCCAGTAGATTGCATTTTCTTTTCCACTATCCCTACATAACCTTATACAACCCTAAACCCTAAACCGTAAACCCTACACCTGCCTGAAGGCGGCGGGGGTGGCGGCGGTTGCGGCGGCTGGGGGAGCCCGTCCATGCTTCTAGCCTTGACGGCAAAGGGTTTAGAGCTTCTAGTCCCCCTTAAGTAGATAGACCATGTGATATATGAGGATCGTATTATAAAAATACCCAAAGTCATTGTCCCTATATAGGGTTTAGGGTTTAGGGTCTAGTCATACAGGGATGTCCAGGGATAATATAGGGATACACCGGGTTACGCAGGGACATTACCCCAAAAATGGAGACTCAGATCTACAAGAAAACGGAAAATCAAATGGACACTGGGGCCTTATAGCGATATGTCAGCCCGTGGGTTGCCCTTGGTTAGGGTTGAGGGTTTAGGGAATGAACGCATGGAACAGAAAATGGAAACTACTATCTTCTTGGGGGATTCTGCAGAGACTACTATTAGGATCTGTTCCTTTGTTCATTGCTAGCCAGAGGTAAGTCTAGGAGCACACTGGTGTCTTTACTTACTGGTGGGAATTAAAACTAGGGACCATTAGAGGGAATTGCCTAGGGACTGCTGGTTACTACAGGATCCAGTACTCCGTCTCCTTCTAAGGCAAACGCCAACATAAATCCCACGGCTTCTACGAAGATGAAGGTGGGCTGTTGCTTGAAAACTATGACTTCAGGCAGTACAGGAGCAATATGAGAGATTACAGGTATGCGGATCCCCATTAGAACTGATTCTTTAATCATGTGCTGTTCGGCTCTGGAGGCTTTTGCCCGAAAATCACCAGCACAATTGTACTACACCCTGCATTAGCCGCAGAGCCTCACCGAAGAAAATTAAATGATCCTCTCACACTCCCGCGTAGAGAATGGACCAACGGATCCCTAAGTAGCCCCTATGTCATCCCCAATAGAACGGTACTTCCACATTTCTTCTGCACTTCCTTCTCTCCTTAGTAACAACCAGCAAGGCATTCCAATCCTAAAGGATAGCGCTGTAAACCCATTTTATGTTCCGTTGGCCTTTCCATTTGAATTTTTCCCTACTTACAACCAGCAGTTTCGGAGCTGTTCCAAAACATCTTCGGACACTGACCTTTCTGCGATACGCCTCTCTGCTCTCAGGGTGAAGAGCCCGTAAGGTTGGCACAGTGCGAAACACTAGTGTGACAGGTAATGCTGAGAACTGTAGACCATAGGAACACTAGAGTTGTATGTACAAGCAGCTATGGGAGACTAGTGACTAGATAGGAAATTACCCGCTTATAACTTAGGGCTTTGCCTAACTAATCCCTGTTGAGTGAACTGGGTTTAGGGTTTAAGGTTGGAAGAAAAACGTCCCATCCCTAATCCCTGAAACCTATTCCGCAAACGAATATGGAGCCCGCCAAACTGAGCCTACAAAGACTAAAGCAAGGTTGAAAGGCGAACCCAACCCTATCTATCCACTAAACACCTGAACCTTAAAACCACTAAGCCTGCAAAATCCCTAAACCTTCATCCCTAATCCCTCAGCCCGAACCCCTAAACCCTGATCATTACATAATCCTTAAACCCTAATCCCTAGACCTGGAAAAAGCATCAAGCGCCGGGCAAGCACTCTGCGGCCTCTGGAACATGCACTGGCAGCACGCTTGGCCTTAGTCGTGGATGTTTACAGTTTAGGGTAAACGTTATGATTTATGGTTTAGAGGGTTAAGGCCCAGGGCCTATCTCAATCGCATGTAGTGCTGTGGGGTTCTGAACTGCTTTGCTACAGGATTGGGACTTAGGGGCCTGGGGGCAGAAAATATGTACCCGAAATAAACCGTCAACGTTTAGGATATTCAGTCAGCTCGTGAGTTTGGGGCTTTAGTGGGCTCCAGGCTATTTTTTCCTTTATATATAATAAGGGTTTCCAGAAATAGGGGCCCCGATATGGAGCCTAATATGCTACCCCCCCCCCCAAAGAAATACCACAATTGTTGGAAACAGTCTTCCCTACAGTATGAGCCCCTGTACAACCCCAGTTTCCATATGATGTTCCATGTTCTTTTCCGCTTGTTTCTCCAGTGTTGGGGTTCATCATCCCCCATATACCAAGGCTGAAGGTAAAGGACTCTAGGCTTTAGGGGAATTTAGGTCTAAGGGTTTAGGGTTTAGGGTTTAGCCCTAAACCCTAAGCCCTATTTAGACCCTAAACCCTATAGATCCATAGCGTTCATGGAACTAGACTGTGGGGCGATGAGCACTTCAGACCTTAGGGATTTGGGGCTTTCAAGGCCTTGGCACGATGAGCTTCTAGGGTCTAGGGTTTTGGGTCTAGGGTTTTCAGGGTTTTGTTCGGGCTTAAGACAGATTTCCCTGTGGTTGACGTTTGGGGGGTTTAGGGGTGTGTTTAGGGTTTAGGATGGTTTGGGTGGTTGGAGGTTCAGAGTGGTCTCCACCCCTTCCAAGGAAACACCTAAACCCTAAACCCCATACGTACATATATAATCCCCCATTCCCTACCAACCATCAACAGGTTCAGACGTTTAGATTCCATCCCTTCCTCGGGAACCCTAAACCCCTAAGCCCTGAACCCTAAGACCCTAAACCCCTAAGCCCTAAACCCCTACACCAGATACCCAGCCAAGGCACCTTGTCCAGTGGCCTTTGAAGGCAGCCCCGTAGCTTTCAGCCAGAAAAGACAAGCATGCAAACATAGGGTGGCTTTAGGGCTTAGGGTGTAGGGTTTAGGGGCCTGAATAATTAAGTATATACCATTGGACATAGGCTCACGGACCGGGGATCAGGGTTTAGGGTGCCGAGTAGCCACCAACTGCGCAGAATCAAATGGAACATGAAAAGGAAACTGGCATTATGCCTGGCTTGTATAAGACCAGGATGATGTAAGGTGCGGGCCAAAGTAATTATGAGGAATATGTTGGGTCCTTGTACCATAGTTCTAAGTGTGTGGGGATTTACGGCTTGAGGGTTTCAAGGTTTGTGGAGCTGATGTTTGAAGTAGTGCGCCCCCCTCTTGAAGCGCGGAGGCCCCTTGAAAGGATACCCAGGTGCCTTCCGGAACATGCCCGGGCACTTTTCAACTTCTGACCTCTTTGTTCCTTCGTTCTATACATGAACGCCTCAAGCCTGGTGGTCCGATATACATGTTCTAAGCATCCTGTCCCGAACCCGAAACCCTTTAACCGAGATGCCTCTTTTACCCGCAAATGCACACCAACAGAGTAACGCGTCTGTAGCTCCAGCTCCTGCATCAATCCTTGAGCTATCCCAGGCTGTTCACCTGCGCAAAATGCTGAAGAGATGAGTCGTTAATGTTTCATGCATGGACAGTGGGGTATATGCACTCGCGAATACTGCTAATTAAGGAACCCTCTCTAACGTCACTCCACCATATTATTGCAATACACCACCACATGTGACTGCCTCGACATTGTAGAACACATGCTTATGATGTGACTGTTGAGTAGTATGGCACTAGAAACAGTGGACATCTTCGACCCGGTAGCAGCAGGAGCATGAGGAGGAGGGGGACACGAGCAGGAGTGGCATTCAGGCAAATGGCAGAGGCTGCGAGTTTTCGTGGGACCGGGCGCGGCGGCGGCGGCGGCGGCGGTGGTGGTGGTGGCTGTGGTGGCAGCTGCGGCCTGACCCAGCATTCCCTCGATACTCGATGCTCGAACCCTGAACGCGGGAGTGCCTATGGCGCAAGCATTAATGGCAGTGCTGTAGCCGATAGCGTCGGGTGCCAACTCCTGACAGCCGCTGGTAAAGACTGCAGCATCGCTCAGAAAAGCAAATCTTTGACATGAGAGTGTTCGATGAGTTGACTCTACAATATGGTAGTGAGAACTGTTCTTAGACTCGGGTTTGGGCACTCTCAGCATTAGGATTCTGGAAGGGTCACTCCACACTGGTATGAGCCAAAATTCTGTGATGTAGCACGAGCCCCTTTAGCCAGACTAGGCTTTTGGGCTGCATTACTGTATCATACTAAAAGAACCCCGAACCCTAAACCCATACTGTCGGTCAGTATTCAGGCCTCTACAGAGTCCTCGTCAGGATACTGCCCAGTGGTGCTGTACAAGTGACATGATCATGGCTCGTTTCAGGAATTGATGTGACCAAATGCCTTTTTCATGGTCAGTGCTGATTTCGGAGGGCCAGGCTCCAAAGTATGTGATTTTGTGATGTTTCCAAGCAGGGCCTGCAGTTTGCCTTCAGAAAGATTGAAGAGGTTACACAGGGTTGTATAGGGATAATGTAGGCCTATATAGGGACAATGGAAAACAAAATGGAAACTACTATTCAAGGCTTAGGTTATCGTTGCACGCTACCGGGGTGTAGGGCTTGGGCCGGTTTTGGTACCCTGCTTGTGAGGGAAACTGGCCTGACAAAGGTACTGTGAGGCAGCTGAAGCAAGTTTGGTTTTGTATACCGCTGTTCTGGTGATGATAGAGCCGTCTTTGTAATTCCTTCTAAAACACTTTTACAACTTGAACCTTAAACTCAAAGAGGCTCCGACAGTGGGCGCTTAAATCAAAAGCACACCACAAGATGGTCAGTGCAGATTCATGGTCAAGCACGCTCGACAGCCAACTACCACAGGCTAACTCCATCAAAAGCTAGCCCTTCAGCTTAAGGGCCTCCTCATCCATGCGACACATCAAACGAAGGGCCAATCTCCACTCCATCTTTTGCTGAACAGCATCCAGCACCTTGTGATGCACGGAGAAGGGCTGACATGAAGCTTCAATGAGGGAGCAGCTGAGGGTTTGAGTTTGGGCGAGTAGGACGTCGTCTTCAGAAGCCAATTCCCATCTGGTCCGCGTGACGCCCCATGCCATGGGCCTTACATCCTCGAAACATGATCGGGCGAGGATTCATAAGCACGCTGGATTGTTTTCCAAACGGCGGCTTCTTCAAGGGGAGCCTGCAATAACATTGAGGAAATACCCTGGATCCATGCGCTTGTGTCTAAAAATGCAATCTGGATCTTGATAACTACATGTCTGCCAACACTGCTGAGACAAGACACAATTTCTCTTGTGGCCCTGCTTCAGGATTCCACATGTTTCTGGGGACCTTCGGAAG